AAAAAAAAAAATACAGATATAAACAATGAATTGTTAATCAGATAAAGCTGTACATGTTTGACAAGTTAAAAATATCATGCTTAGGTAAAAACCTGAAGTATATGTACTAAGACCAAGGTTCATTCAAGATTCAGCTGGCCAGTATTAATATGAACAAATGATTTCCCAAGCTTTTAATAAATAGGTATAGTTAACAGTTTATTAAACAGTTAATCTGACCAACTATAAATCCTATAGCTATCCCTTAGGTATCACAAATTAAAAGGTCACTCTTAATTACTTTATTGTTAAATATACTTACGTTGACTGCCAGTTATTGACTGCAGAGCAATTCCTATGGTATAAAATATAAAAATAAAAAAATTTAGATGTACAACTACAAATGCTACCAACAAATGTCTGACTAAGTTTAAGAAAAGAGTAAGATTTTTACATAGCACCAATTCATTCTATAATTAACTATAAAAATAGCAATTTATGGTCATCAAAGCAATTTAGATAAGGCACAACCTAGATTATCATATAAAAATTATAAGCTCTGGGCTGGGGATGTGGCTCAAGCAGTAGCACACTCGCCTGGCATGCATGTGGCCCGGGTTCAATCCTCAGCACCACACACAAAGATGTTGTGTCTGCCGAAAACTAAAAAATAAATATTAAAAATTCTCTCTCTCTCTCTTTAAAAAAAAATTATAAGCTCATGATTAAAGAGAGAAAATTACACAAAAATTTAATAGTTGATAAGAGAAAAAGCCTAGAAAATAAGTGCTTAAACAAAGCAGAAAATTCCTTATTGTTAATTTAAGGCCATGAAGGTATAACAGTCAATTATGAAGTAAATTTCCATTGAAACTTTGTAATTTTTTTTTTTAGCAATCTGAATTATCCTAGTCAGCACCACTCTTCTTGTCTGTTAATATTTATTGAACACTTATGATATGCATCAGGCTGTGTTAATCTCTAGAGATTGAAGGGTGAAAAAAAAAATAACAACCTTCATGGAGATTTAGTGAGGACAATGGGTATTTATCAAATAATCACAGATAAATGAATAAAAACTGCAAGTTTAATAACTGAGGAAAGAGAAGAAAGATACTAAGAAAGCCACTATTAAAGGAACTTGATCAATAAGCCATTCAGACTATACAAGTAAAAACTGCTTGAAATGCCTGGAATTGGCGCTTAAAGCCCTTTCCAAATATTACCTCATTTTCATGAGTTTTTGCTATTTAAAATCTTAATACAGTAAATATATTTTGAAAAATACAATTAGTAAGTAAATTTATAAATCAAGTATTCTTCCTTATTAATTTTCCCATTTCACTAAACTCAGTGTCTCCTTACACTTATAAAAAGGCTCTCAAATATTAATCAAATAAAGCTATTCCAGAACCTTACTACCAGGACTGGGAGTGAGACAAAGTAATTTTCTCTGAAGAAAACCTGGACCAGGTTCAACAATTACTAGAAACTTGGGAAATTGTACATTTAATAGTATAGGTATGGTCATCAGTTACTCATTAGGCTAATAACTTGGGGACAAGAAACATTTACTCAGAATAGCACAGCAAGAATTTCAATGATGCTGACAGGCTTTGAACTCTACTGCCGAAGAGCAGATCTGAGAAGCAATCCTGGGATGTAGCAGAGAAAGTCCAAAGTGTTTCACATATCAAGAGACAAGTCTATGAATGGAACTGCTGAACTCAGACACTTCTAATATCTAATATTTTAATTACCCACAGCAAATGGATAGCTGCTAAAATTTTAAAATAAACATCAAGGTTTGGCTGAAAAGAAGAGGAAAAGAAATATATACCTATTGTGTCTATAAAGGCATCCTCAAATCACACAGCACCTGTAATTCATGGTTTTAGGCATATTTACTTTTGGAGAAGTAATAAAATCATTTTATTTAAAAATTTTTAAAGCTGGGCATGAGAGTGCATGCCTATAATCCTAGTGACTTGGGAGGCTGAGGCAGGAGGATCACAATATAGAGGCCAGCCTTGGCAACTTAGTGAAACTCTAAGCAACTTAGCAAGAAACTGTATTAAAATTAAAAAATAAATAAAGAGGTCTGGGTACACAGCTCAGTAATAAAGAGCTCCTGGGTTAAATTCCAGTACCAAAAGAAAAAAAAAAGTCTTAATAATTGCTTTCTCAATATGAAAAAAGAAATCCTCTTGAGTATGTTTTTTTCTATGAACTCCCTTCTACTTTAATGTCATTAATACCAATTTTTTTAGTTTCCTGCATCATAATATATTATTATATTTCTATAAATTTGTTCTTTTCCTCTGATATATCCTTTCCTCATCTTCTTCATGTGGCAAGCCTCTCTAGATCATTTAAGAATTCCTTAAATATTATATTTTCCAGAAAGCTTTTTAAGACTCCTTTGAGGGAGGACATCCCACATATTCTGTAAATATCTGTAGTACCATAATTTCCATTACCACCTTCATTTTTTTTTCTCATCACCTTCTTATTGAATCTATTCTACCAAGAATTCAACTTCACTGACTCTTCCTACCCTTTGCATTGTGCTTGGCACAGAGCACACTTTCAATGAAGATTTACTAACTGAAGTAAACAATTACTTAGTACCTTGTTGATAGCAGGATAACATCCTCTGGATGATTTCTGGTACTGGTATGCCTAGATAGATGGATAGCTGATGGTAATCAAGGGAGATATTCTCAATGGGATTTTCCTTCACTTTGTCAATATCCTCTTGCTTCATCCCAAGGCGCAGAAGAATATCTGAAACTTTTTTCCAAATTGAACTGAATTGTGACTCAGTGAGACCATTCATCAAAATCTCACTAAGGAGGATATCCCTGTATTTGCACAGCCTCAGGATGTCTGCAGACTTAGAGAGATCAGATGATGGTGGTTCCATATTCCAGCCTTTTTTTGGTGCAGGGAATACATTCAAATGTTTTATGAGAGCTAATAGGAGGCATAAGTCAAACTGTTTGGACTGTGGTAGCTCCTTGTTTGGAGGATAGAGAAGATGCCATGATCCACCCAATGGGTGATTGGTCCAAAGATGGTTGTAGTAGGATTCCAGCACATTCTTGTGTATAAGCAGCTCTTTTTTCAAAAGAGGGGGTGGCATAGCCTCATCAAATATTTGCCGGACAATGTCAGTACCAGAAATAATAATTATATGAAGCAGATGATAGAAATAATTATAATCAAGTTTGAAGATAGGCATTTCATCTGAAAATGAATTTTGAGAAGTCAAGACATTCCACATTAATGCTCTTTTTCTATGTGGCTTCTTGAATTACATTCTAAGCTCCTAAACTATTCCTAAGGAATGAAGCACAGCACAGTGCTTTGCCACAACTGATGCTAAATAAACATGCTGTTTTCTATCTAGCTGTCAAAAAAACTTAAACAAAAACAATATGTACCCAAGCAAAAGCAATCACCAGAACCTTTCAACCATCCAAGGTTTCATTCAAGTACATGAGCTTTGGCAACCAAATACCATCAAAGTATTAGGCCTCTAAAATTTTCCAGGAATGATAATTGCAATGTTTATACTTCACTTAAACAATTATACTTTATCCTAATTTTTAACACTATTCAATAGAGTTTATATGACAAATGTTTTATATTTGCATTGTCTAAAAATTGTCTGATACTGAGCACTGTAAATGTTGCTTATCTTGAGGAACAGAGTGTTAAATTTTATTTAATTTTAATTAATCTTTAAACTATGCCATAGGCTGATTGTTATCATATTAGAAAGCACATGTCTATATCAAGAAACATGAAACAAAATCTAAATCCTTATTACTCAAAGTGTCATCCACAGACCAAGAGCAGCAGCATTCACCTGGGAGCCTGTCAGAAATGCAGAATCTCAGGCCCACTCCAGATCTACTGAATTAGCACCTGCATTTTAATAAAACCATCAGATTTTATTAAATACATACAAATTCTTAGAAGCACTAATCTAGTAAACTTCATGTTTTTACACCCCAAAATAAATTTAATGATAAAGTATGTATGTCATTAATGAAATAAAATAGGCATGAGACTAAACTATTCAGTATTTTCTCAGTTTAGTAGTACTTCCACAGAAAGAAAGTAGACTAAGATGAGTTAGAAAGTAGTAAGAATTTGGTATATGATAGTATTTGCTATATGATAGTACTTATATCAATATCAAAATGTATTTATCATAGAATGTGGCTTATTTTATCCTTCTTGATTTCATGTTTTAATAAAATTTTAAATTAGTATTTATACTGAGTATACCTAACATATGCTGTGGACCTGAACAAAATTAACAATAAAATGACTCAAAGAGCTTTCTCCAGCTAGCCCTATAAAAAGCTGGCTGCTAAGAGGGATATCCATTTCCCCTAGCACAAAGGACTGCCACCAAACTAGTCTTCCTTGGGACCAAGGACCTGTAATATCTCTTAAGTGCTGGAGAGAGCATTTCCTAGCACATTTCTGAATATTGGCACCTTAGTTTAGACTACTTGGCTCACAGATGAGAATGTTCATTTACCCCATATTAGGATGCTCTAAATGCTGCTCTATCAAAAGGAAAAATAGTAACAATGGGAGAGGAGTTGGAGGAAAGCTCTGCTGAGGCAAATCTTATTGTGTAGTCACAGCTACCTGGCATGCCATACTATAGAATGCCAAAGTAATATGATACCCATATACTGCTAATCTTTCTGTCTGTGAGTTCTAGCCTACACAAGGTGCTGCTCACTGATATAAACCCAAGTCTAGAGAACAGCCAATAAAGGTGATGGTATGCTTGTTAATGGCATGACACTTTACAGAGAAAGTAAAATATGTTCACATACTTTTCAAAAGGAGTCATATAAAACTAAAATAATACCTTTTGTATTAAATTTTAAACTGATCTTCGGTCTTATATCAGTATCAGTTATTTTCAGAGACATCAACTTCTTATAACTGTAAATGGAAAAAATTAAGGTACCGTGAAATAATATAAAAGTCAGTCAATATTTGTGGTATAAGTATGGTTAAATGGGTATTTTCTTCTCCTCCTACTGGAAATGATTCAAAAGCAAAAGAAAAAATTGAATATAAAATATAAAATACTAACAAAACCACACACATTTTCATTGTAATTAAGAGGCAAATAGTATTGGTAGATTCATACAGAAAAGAATCACGTAAAAAGTTTATTTGCAAGAAGGCTATATTGTAGCAGAAAAAAAGAAAAATGGCTTACATTGTCAACAAAACAAAAGCAAAAAATAGCAAACCTGGAACTTCTTCTTGACCTTCCCTTTACCAAATTTTTTGGCAATAACTATTCTAATAGAACCCAACTTACTCATTGTTATGGTGTAGACACTAGGTGTGCACCAAAAGCTCATGTATTAAACAATGAAAGAGAGCCTAAAGGTGAAATGATTGGGTTATGAGAGTCTTTATCAGTGCATTAATCATCTGATAGGGATTAACTAGGTGGTAAGTATAGGTAGGTAGGGTGTGGCTAGAAGAGGTGTGTCCCTGAGGTTGTGTCTTTGGGGATAGAGTCTTGAATGAATGAGTGGAACTCTCTCTCTTTGTTCCCCTGTGCCTGCAATGTCTAGAAACACTTTCCTCCACCTCACTCTTCCATTATGATGTTCTACCTCACCTTGGGCACTGAGGGATGGAGTCAGCTGGCTAAGGACTAAGACCTCTGAACTTGTAAGATCCCAAATAAACTTTTCTTCATCTAATCGGTCTTATTAGATCTTTTGGTCACAACAGTGAAAAAGCTGACTAAAACAATGTTTAGGATTTTGAAAATGAATAAAGTGGCATACTATCAACACAAATAATTAGAAAAAAATTAAGTAGCAGCCAAATTTATTAAACACACTTAAGCACTAAGTAAATATTGCCATTAAGCAAATGGAAAAAAATGTGTGGCTTGGCTTTGAAATGAACCCTCTCACAACAAACAAAACAAAAAAATACTTAACATAACATTAGAACGTAAGTTTCATGACAGAAAGTTTGGTGTGACTACTGACTGCTGTGAATTGATCTTATCTACAGCATCACCTATAACACTGCCAATCACCCACAACACTGAAAAATTTTAAAACTTTTGAACATATGAAGTATTGGCTAAGACAATAAGTAAAAGGAATTCTGCTAGACTGCTGGTAGGGAGTATAAACCAGTAAAACACTGAGGAAAACAGTTCAGCAAGATCTAATAAAGTTGAGTATATACACAAATGGACTAGCAATTCTATGTATATATACTGAAAAATTTTCTACACATTCTCAAATGGAGACTTGCACAACAATGTTCATTTGTATCACTAATGTTATAGTCTGAAATTAGATATAACACAAATAGCTGCCAACAGTAGAATGACTATGATGGCTACACATAAAGTTAGAACTATAAAATGAAGTAATAATAAGACTAAATTATATAAGCATATAGCTTTAAAATGCATAAAACATAAATTTTCCAAATATATGAAGTTCAAAACTTTTTAAATTATCTTATAAGTAACAATATATTGTGGAATTTATAAAAATGCTGATGAAACAAATTAAAAACAATAGCACAAAACGTAAGAAGATATTATTTTAAGATTTTTATGCTATATATGATGTAGTATAATATTTAAAAATGGACATGGTAAGTTGAAAATATATATTATAAACCCTGGAAAAATTACTGTGGGGGAAAAGATAAAACGAATAACCAAACCAAGAAAGAAAAACAACAGAAAGAAAAAACTGAAAACAATAAGATAGCAGATTTAAATCCAATCATATAAATAATTAGAAAATTTATATGGAATAAGAACTCCAGTTTAAAAGGAAGAGAATGTAAGATATCAAAAACAACAACAACAAAAAGCAATACCTATGCCATCTACCAAGAAAACAAAAAATTAACTTAAAATATAATATAATATATATATATAAATACAAACACATATGCCACACAAATAATAATCACATGTATACAGATTAAAGAAAATTTTTTACAAAGGTAAGCTGGAGTAGCTAATATCAGACAGAGATTTAAAGTAGGATTATTAGCAGAGACAATGAGAATGTTATATAATAGTAAAGAGATAAAATCATCAAGAAAATCTTAAAATGTATATGCAGGATTTAAAAAAAAAGCTTCAAAATACACAGACAATAGAAAAAGATAAAATAACAGCAGCAGCTTCAATATTTCCCTCTAAGGAACTAATAAACAAGTAATTATTAATGATATAGAACATTGAAATGAAACTATAAAATACCTTTGTCTAATGTAGAGAATACTCCACATAAAAAGAACAGAATATAGCTTGCAAATGCAAATATAATATTCATAAAAATATATAATATTATGTCTCATACAGCAAACCCCCACAAATTTAATTAAAAACTATAGAACTAGAAAATATATTCTGCAATCACATAAAATTAAAAGTAGGGACCAGTATGTGGAGAAACAGCTAAAATATTTCCCAAATACTTGGCAATTAAGCAACATTATTTCCAAATAACCATGGTACTCACACACAGTAAATTAGAATACATTCTGAATTTAATGACAATAATAATAATCATAAATTTGTAAGTACCAAAATACATGGGACACATTTAAAGCAGTACTTAATGTAAATTCAGTTTGTAAAGAAAACTATCTTGAATCAATAATAAAAACTTTCATCTTAAGAAAAAGAAAAGCAAACTAAAAACCCAAACAAGCAGAACAAGGAAATAACAAATAGCAAAAGTCAGTGAAATTGAAAATAAAAATGTGTAAGAGAAAAAAATCAGTGAATTGAAAACTGACTCTAAAAAGATTAGCACAATTGATAAATCTCTAGTGAAAATGGTCAGAAAAATAAAGACAAAAAATAAATATTGTCAACATCAGAAATGAAAAAGGTGATATATTACTACAGATCCAAACTCTCTGTCCAAAGACATCAGAAAACTGAACCCGTGGAATTACGTCCACTGAAGAAATGAGAGAATACCAGAAGGAAGAGATAGAAAGAGAAAATATCTCTAAATATCTAGCCAAATCTTGACTGCCATTATCCTACACCTGGGTTTGACTAAATGTGGAACAAACCAAAAGCAGTTCAGTTAATGGCAAAAGATCTGGACTGACACTGGAACCATTTTCCAAGAAAAAAAAGTCCACAGTTTACAACCAGCCAAGTGAACTGCCTATCAAAACAAAAGTAAATTACTCACTGGAGAATAATGGAATTCAGAATCTCTACATTTATTATGCATTTACTTGGTACCAACTATATGCAAGGCTTTAAGCTATGTGCTGAGAATATATCAGTAAGATATAGTTCTTGCCCCCTCAGATGTTAGAGTTAAAGGGTGAAGATAGGAAGAAAGTGTAATAAATTTGTGAATGTTTTGACAGTACAGCAAAGTACTCCATGCAAGGCCCATAAAATAGAAAACATTTTTACTTCCAAATAAAAATCTGGACATTTCTTGAGATGGCACACCCAAGAAACTAAAAGAAGCTCAGTATAGTTAATGCACAGTATATAACTATAAATTTAGCAGAATAACAAGAGATGACACTAGTGAGTTCAGCAGGGTCCAAAATGTTTGAACAGCCAGGCTAAGGAATTTGAATTTAAATTTTAAGAGCAATGAGAAGACTATGAAAGATTTGCTATCACAGAAGTGATGTATTTCAATGTTTATTTTAGAAAAGTCCTACAGACAGCTATGTGAACAACAGTCTAGAGAAAGGCAAGGCTAGGAACAAACCTGTTAAGAAGCTATTTAGAATTCCAAATAAGAAACAATGATAATCTAATTTAGTTAAAGGGGGCAGGCAGGGCAGAAATAAGGAAAAAGTTCCAATATATTAAGAAGTCAAATTGCTAGAGGACTTTTAAGAGTTAAAGAGCAGTGTTGAGAAAAAGATCAAGTGTTCAGTTTGGGGCAAGTTGAGTATAGACATTTATGAAAAATAAAAGTAGAGATACTTGGGATGCAGGCAGATAAAAAGGTTAAGATTTTAGGAGAGTTATCTGTGCTAGACAAGATTTGAGTTTCATTAACTCATAAGTGAAAATATTGCCTTTGATATCTATCTGGGTAGACTGAAATGGTATATATGTTTTATACTTTAGATAGAAGAAAAAGAGAATCAGTGAATTTGAAAAACATTATATTGGAATTTTTCATTTTAGTAGCAATTCTCTATACTTCTATGAATTTTTAGCTTAAAAAATGTGTGTGTGTGTGTGTATTCAGCTTTTTAAAATATTTTTTCATCTAAGGAACAGGAAGATTCTAATTGTGAGATAACCTTAGAGGTCTAGATGAGCTTTGAAGAAAGATTATTATCAAACAAACTTAAATGTTAATTGTAAGAAAAAAATGTTTCATTTTCTCAAGAGAAAAGTATCCACATAATTTATCGTTCCCTGCTTTACAATGTAAATGCATACAGCAGTGAGCACAGAAGGGGGAACAAAAGGCAATTCAATGCGACTTTTTCATATATCTAAATACTACCTTAAAACATAATGGTGTTCTAACAGGTGACATAGCACAGAAGCAGCAACTAAAAACACATACATACTCAGAAAAAAGTAAGAGAAAATTCTCTTTCAAGCTTACCTTGCTCCTAAATTCTCAATGGTTATATATTCATCCTTTCTCACAACTTCAAACTGCAAATGATGGGAAAAAAAAAGTAGCCCTAAAGTAGTTCAGTTTCCAAAATTCTTTAATGTTAGTTCTTAGCCTTAACACTTGAAAAGAGACAATCAGAGTAAAACCATCGTGAATATAAAATAAAGAAAACGTAATTGAAAGGTGAGCAATACATGGTCCTGTTGAAACAACAAATTAGAGTTTCCTTTAAAACAAATTCAACTTTATATCACTACACAATCTAAATGACAAATTTGAAAAATAAAAATACATATCTGAAGGTAAAGAAGTAAATGAGATTTATTTCTATTCATAATTTGTCATAATATCAAAAGATATTTCATTAATTAAAAATAAAATGTATACTATTTGCGTGTACTGTGACAAGTACTACTATAGGGGTTGTTCTACAGATATTTTCATAGGAAGGTATTTACAGACTATAAGATTTTCAGAAAGTAAAATTATTTTTAACTTTAGGTAGCACAGAAGTAAATACATTATAATTCTTAGTTGATGATACTTTCCCTCATTCATATGCATATGGCTTATTCATCTGTTCTCATGTTTTTATATCCTTATTTTTTAAATTTTTTTATTCTTAAAGACCACTTAAATACTACTTCACATGAATAGAAATGGCAAAGAAATATGACTAGGATTCTATTATGATTACAATATCTGTTTCAAATCAAAAAATATTATTCTTGTAAAGGAAACCAAGAAAAGTTTTAGAAGATACTCACCAAAATTTTAACAATGCCAGGTACATCACATTGTAGCATTCTTACCATGTCACCTGTACATCCTTCCTTCAAACATTTTTTCCCACTAAAACTCTAAAGTTAATAGAAAAAAATAAAAATAAAAATCATTAATGTGCAAATGTGAGTAAATTTAAATAAATAAATAGGTAGAAGCACTTGTTGCCAAATAGTAAACTAACTAGTGAATAAACATTTGGGAATTGTTCAAAGATAATCTATTTCATATCAACAAATACTCTATTTAAGATGTATGGTTTCACTTTCTTTTCTAGTCATTTCTATTTCCAAATCTTTAAAGAGCTATATTACAGCCTAAAATGTATTTGCTGTTCCAAGGAAAGCAACTTTATGTAACACGTTCTAATTGAGGAAGTATAAAAGAATACTGAATTTCTTACTGAATACAGAATTACCAGATACTCAAAGATTCCTGAGAAAATAGAAAAATACAAATGTTGCATCATTCTTTTCTCTGATTCTGACTTTGCCATTATCTCTGGCTTAGTTTTATATTTCTTTTACTTCTCTTTTTAAGATTGAGCAATATTAATGGTCCTAATAATAAAAGAAATTGAAGAAGTATTTAAATACCACTTAAAAATGAATAGTAGTGCCTTATATAATTCTTTGTGCAGTTTATAATGTCAGTTCCTCACAATAGCCCTATGAAATAGGTTTACCTTATCCTTACTTTAGAACTTAAAAAAAAAATTGTCTTGGAATGGCTACATTACCAGCCAAATGTAATAAAATTAATAAGCGTCTCAATCTGGAGTTGAACCCATATTTCCCAAGTGTTTTTTATAATACATCACAATTTATAAGGTTTTCTTACTGTTTACACAATATAAACTCTACAGAATCAAAATTAAGACCCAACTTATGGTCATTAACTCACTAACGAAAAATACAAAGTTGTGTTATGGAATTCCACTTCAATTTTAGTAGGAAAGAGGAGTATTATATGAGTAGAAACTAAATATAAACAAATACAAATATTAAAACAAATTTGTCCTTGTTCTCAATGCCTAAAAATATAAATTATCACTGAGCATGGTAGTGCACATCTATAATCCCAGTGGCTTATCTTGGGAGCTGAGGCAGGAGGATCACAAGTTGAGAACCAACCTCAGCAACTCAGCAAGGCTCTTCAGCAATTTAGTGAGACCCTGTCTAAAATAAAAAATAGAAAGGGCTGGGAATGTGGCTCAGTAGTTGAGTGCCCCTGGGTTCAATTACCACCCCCCGCCCCGAAAAGAAATTATCCTTAAAATTGTATAATTATCCTGTGTATTTATTAAGCAGTTCTACTCTGATTTTATATCCTTTATGTGAATATATGGAACACTATTTCTATTCTTGAGTATAAACATCTAGAGGCAAGAAAATGAATTGTTAGAAATAACTAGGCAAAACAACTAGCAGAATACCTGCTACAAAGAGTTATTTAATAAATAATGATGAAGGATAAAGAATGGTGGGAAGATAAGCATCAGAGAGAAATGAGAAGAAAATGGAGAGAGGAAAAACCAGGGAAAATATACATAGGAAGAAATAAATAGAATAAGGACAAAATGGAAAAGGGAAGAAGAAGTGCTGTAGCAAAGTTTTAAGAAAGAAAAGCAAATATACCTGATCATGTTCACCTGGATATTTTAAATTCTTGAACTTTTTCCAACAAATTTTATGGAAATAAACACAGCAACTTTTACTGCACATTAACTGAAAAAATCCCTTGAAAAAATAAAAGTAAGCAATTGATATGGAAATAAACAGTAATTCATGTAAGTACAAAAAAATGCAAACTCCTCAAGTTACTTTTAAAAGTATTTTATCATAATAAGTTTTGCATGGCATTCAAAATTTACCTACAGAGATCACTGAAGAACTTTACATGTCATTTTTACAATAAAGACAGTTTAAAAAGGGCAATGATTTGAATGTCAATGTAATATTTTCCATATTCTATGTACAATAAAATAACAGAACCCAGAGAGTAACCTCTAACAAGGAAAATACAGTAGATCCCAGATTATCTTCATTTTTACATCTTTTTTTCTTCCAGCTCCAACTCCATACCGTTATTCTTTGAATCTCTTTTATATAACCCATCACTGCACCTCAGATTTGTTCCATAGTGACAGTTCCTGGGTTACTATGTTATCACAGGTATGGATATGTTTGTCCTTCCTATATGCCCTCCCTGGGAACTACAGCCCTGTTTCTCCATATGTAGGAATTCTGCTTATATTACAAATATTGAAGCTGCATGTCCAGGACTTTATTTTCCCAGGCTTTCCTAGGAAATTTCAGCACCATAGTACCATGTTACCTAACCCAATACAGAACATGCTTTGTTTTGAGAACTCTACCTCACCTAGCCCACTTATCAATCCCTGTCTTATCGTAAGGAAATATCTTGGCCTTCTTTTCTCCACTTTCTCCATTTGTTATAAACATTCCTTGCAAGTGAGACTGCAATTATCTTACAGAAGTGGTGTTTGATTTTGCACTGATAATCAATCTTCTTGTCCCATCTTATGATATCACATAGTTTTATTCTGATTGAGTTAGAGAGATCTATCAGAAGTATTCTGATTGTTGAATTTATTCAAGTTAAAACTCAAAGAGTTTCATTCCTCTCCCTTCTAGAAGGCCTACTGAAGTGGTAATGAGAACTTATTTAATATCAAAATTACTGAGGAGGGGCAACTTTTCTCTTTAGTAAAATGCTCCTTAACATTTCTAACTATAAAGTAATAAGAATTTCTAGATCATTTTCACTGTACGATAACAGGAATAATAGTTACAATTTCATAGGTATGTGTTACAAAAATCTTAACAAAACTAATTACTTTTTAACTAACGTACAGATCGTGAATAATTATTGCTCATTCTGAATTGAAATTCTCAGAGATAATGAAACATCTTCTCAACTGCATGACCATTGTAATTAAGTTAAAACTCTTTTAAAATAATATTTCAAAACATAATGATATAATAATTTCATCTAAGTTAATTTTATAATCACATTAAAATACTCAGTAAATTATTAAATATGGTACCTTGTAATTGGTGTTCTTTAAAATGTCAGCTTCACAAGATCGTTCACAATCTAGATAACTACAAATGGTCTGTTTCATTATATTACTTTCAGTTGTCTTGATAAAATTATTGAGAAGATCCTAGATTTCAAAATAAAAAATATTCTCATGAATAACAATAAATTAAAATAACAATACTTCCAAAGTTTTCCTTAAGTAATGTGTCCACATCATATCCCCTTTTGAAGGATTTGCATTTTAAAAATAGTTAGAGAACGTATTTCCTACATGAAAAGTAAACAAAACTGTAAATACTGAATTTTACAGAGTGATAGAAACATGGAGAAAGGAGAAAAATGTATGTTTGAAGCTATATTTCTTTTTTCCATCTAACCTGTAGTAAAACACTTGGCATGTTCCTATCAAGAATTACTTGCTTAAGAAATTATATATATATTTTATATATATATATATATATATATATATATATATAGAGAGAGAGAGAGAGAGAGAGAGAGAGAGAGAGATAGATAAAATATATATAAAATGTATCTCAATATCAGAATTGGGCCCTAGGACACTGGCAAAAGTACAGTACAAAAATATGCTTTCAACTGCCAAGGTTACAACTTGAAATACAATTTCTAATTTTAAAATTGCTGATAAGTGAAAAACACATTATCAGGTCTTAACTAATAAGGTCATAAACACTTATGCTTTAGAGGGATAGTATTAGAACATTTCAAATAGTATTATTGCTAATTTTCTGAGAGCGTATGATTATTTCATGAATATCAGTCATTCAGGAAGATAAAGCTGAAAATCTTTGCAAGAAGGTAAAATGACAAAATATAATATTAGAAATTCTGTATCTAATTAGAAATATTATTTAATGGGTTAAATATACAGAGTATGTGAATAATGAGCAGAAATAAGAGAAAATTAAAAAGAAATAAGAGAAAATTAAAAAGAAATTATCAGATACATAAATCAAGAAAATATTTCAGAACCAAAAACATAAGTTCAGAACATTGGGGATACACAAGATACCTTTCAAAAATCCTCAGAAAGAAAATGGAAAGAAGACAATGCAACAGGTCACATGTAAAAGGCTGAAAACCAGAATGACATCAGATTTCTCAAAAGTAATACTAGAATCTAGAAGATAACAGAAAAACATTTCTAAAAAATGAAGTAAAATTATTTTCAACCTATAGTTCTATGACCACATATAAGTAAAGTGTACAAAAGATAAATTATTTTGAGACTTAAAGTTCTTAAAAAATTTACTTCCTAAGGAAGCACTCTTCTATGGAAAGCTGCTGCAGGAGGTGCAACACCAAAACCAGGAGCAAAGTAGAAAGAGAAAACTTGAGTTCTGACACATGAAAGATTCTACACAGGAGAGAAGTAAAGGAAATCCCTAGGATAAGGACAATTTAATAAAAATTTAAAACTACTAGTAAGATGGGAGCTGTTGTGTGTTTATGTATGTGCGTAAGAGTCAAAGAGATGTATTTTGTATAAGAGGGCTAACCCCTTATAGTGGAAAGTCAAAATAAAACCTAAAATGGACAATTTTTTTTTTAAATAGCAGTACTTTCTTTGAAAAATATGTAAAAAACAAAGAAAATGACTAAAAACTTAGAAGGAGTCAAATATAGGGAGCAGGAATTGTAGTTAGAGATGGCAGAGCAAGAACTCTTAAGTCTTTTTTGTCAAACTGCATATATTGTATTACATTGCATAATATAAAAATTCACTGAACATAATCTGGATAATATAGAAAATTATTCTAAAAGAAGGAAAAACAAACAGTAAAGATTATGCTGGGAATGCTTTAGGGTGATATAGTTTAATACCTAAAAAGTATACAAAATTATTGCTAATTAATAATTCAAAGTTAAACTTCATATGTTTATCATGACAATGCCAAAGGCCATTTATGAAGTCTATTGTTAAGTGAAAAAGGTATATTAAAATATTCCATTGTAGACTGGAAATGTAGCTCAGTGGTATAGTGCTTGCTTAGCATGTGTGAGACCTTGGGTGTACACAGATACATACACACCCACAGTAACTGGGATTTTTTGATTACTTCTTTCAGTTGTTAACTTTTGTCCTATGTATTTTGGGACTATATTACTAGGTATATATAAATTTTGAATTGTTATAGCTTCCAGGATAATCTAATCTCATTTTTTAAAAATGAAATGTCCCTGTTTAAAGAATATTTTTGGCCTTAAAGACAACTAAAATATAAGGCTACAAAAAGGTTTAAAGGTAGAAGCTTGGAAAAACACATTCCATTCAAACATTAACCAGGAGAAACCTGGTATAGCTATTTTCATACTAAGTAAATTAAAAAGAGACCTACATGGCTTTGAATAAAAATTACCCAAAAAGAAAAAGAGTAAAAGTTCGGGGGACTGGGACTCTTACACTGTCTTAAGACTATAAGCTGGCACAATTTCCTGAAACAGCATATAGGAATATATTATCAACAACTTTACAAGTGTGTAAACACTTGTTTTACAATTCAAACTTAGAAAATTTATTCTAAGGGAATGATGTGAGAAATATGCAAAGATCACTTTATATTAAGAGTTAAAAATCGAAACGTTTAGGACAAACTAAATGTCCTAAACATGGTTAAGTAAATTAAAGTGAAACTGCAAAAATCATATTATATAAGAATATATATTACATAAGAATCTAATTTCTAGAAAATTAAAACACTATAAATTTCCAGGCTACAAATATATGTATATAATATAGCAATTTAGCAAAAATAAAGGTATAAAAAAAATAAAGGGTATGTGTTTATATGCATATGTATATATGTGAATAGACATAAATGAAAATGTTAACAATTGTTTTTCCACTGAACAAATACATGTGAATTTAACTTTTATCTTTGGATAGTTTTACATTTTCCAAGTTTTCTGAACAAAGCATTTAGTGCATTATGAATTAAATTAGGTAACAAAAAATAAATAATTAGAAAAAAAACAATGCTACCTATTACATTTGGTTCTATTCATGAAGTACTAGACTAGTATGGATATTAACTTTCCTGTTGTGGAAAATGCTGCTACTCTGTACTTGATGAATCATACTTACATTACATATAGAATAGATAATGAAATCAAAGTTGTTTCTTAAAAGGTAATTTTCAATAAAAGAGGGTGCTTGCCATAGAATATAATGTAGTTTTTAAATAAAATTTACCAAACATGATTCTAATTAGTGAAATGAAATGTTATTCCTAAATAATTTCTTACTTTAAAAGTTGTAGGTAAATCTCCATCTTCTGTAGGATCTATGTCAAACCAATGATCACTTGTATCTCCTATTTCTTGTAAGCTTTTATGAAATTCTAGCAGTCCTCCATTATATCTGTAAGGCATTTTAGAATACGTTAGTTTGAATGAAACTCTAATACTGTATAGTTTAAAAATGACATAACAAGTTATCAAGTTTGAGTGGTAAGTAGAGTTGTAATAACCTCTGTCATGCAAATTCTAGGATTCTCACCTGTGGAAGATTGGGCTGAAATATAGATAGAAGGGGAGGCAATGGATTATGTAGTGGCTCAAGCTTTAACAGTATGGGAGCCATAGTAATTAAAGAGGTTAGCTTTGTTAACTGGATGGCTTTTGTTAACTCTCTTGTAGGCCCTGAAGAAAGAGACAGACACTGGTCAGCCAATTATTATCCCAGAATATACTGTGAAAGCCAGAAGGCTCTAAGGTAGCATTTAAAGAGACTTTCATCTTCTGTATCCATAAAGATAATTTGTGCTAAAAGGGCCAGATTTTAATCCTAAAATGGAATAAACTGCAAATAAGACCTAATATATAAGCCTCTAGAGACTGCAGCTATCAATAAGTACACTATAAAACTAGAAGACAGAAACATTTAAAGAATCCTCACCTCCTCTAGAGATAAGGGTAGAGTATGCTGCAAATAAGGCCTGGGATTTAGTTACAAGGGTAGAACTAAAAAAAAAAAAAAAAAAAGATCAAATGCATAGCCACAACAGGACTACTTTGCTAGGTCAGGGCTTTTGTGGGGAATGAGAGGATTCTGCAAAATCTAAAATGAGGATATTTAATGGAATGTGCTCAGAAACACTGACTCTCTAAATTCTGACTGAATTATCCAACTGGCAAAGACCGTTTTTTTTTTTGTTAAAAGACAACAGCCTCCTTGAACTTAGAAACTATACAAAAACACAAGAGACACAAGTCTCAAAGGATGATGCCCTTCCTTCTCAAGATCTTCCTCAACCTATAGTCACTGCCTTCAGACTAGTACATCTAGGGTCAAATATAAAAGGGTCCAAAAGGGAATAAAAGGGTCTCGGGAATAAAAAGCTTATTCTAAGAATTGCAGAACCTACAGGTATGCATATTTAAGCAACAACAAGTGTGGGAGTAGATCTCAAGAAAGCAAAGCCAATGGGCTGGATAGAGGATTGTATACTGATATGAGACAACTCTTACAGAATTTAAAATTTACTTTCCTACCAAGGATACCTGAAGCCAGTCCTGACATGCTGCTGAGAGGCTCCTATAAATTTGAATGATGGCCTATAGTAAATGAAGAAGAAATACTAAGCATTTTTTGGCAGATTACTGAAAGAGTTAGGAGGCTTGTGGAGGTAAGAATGTTAGAATGGACTTAACCTGGGCTATGGCTGTGGCTCAGTGATAACAGCACTTGCCTAGCATGCATGAGGCCCTGGGTTCAATCCCCAGCACATATCTCTCTCTGTTTCTCTCTCTCCCCTCAAACTCTGGCCCCCACACACCCACACACAATAAAAAAATCCAGAAAGAATCTGTTATTAGATAATGTTCATGGAAAGGCTCAGAGAGAAGACATTAGTTTCATTAATGCAGGAAAAAGATAGAGTTAAGAAAAGCACCAGTGCCTTGAGAAACTCAGTGGTGGTTGTCCTCTATAATGATGCTGCCATACAACTGTGTTTTCTAATAGATGGTCTAGAAAATAGATTTCCTCCTTTGCCCATCAGTAAAGAGAATAAAAAGTAGTTTGCATTCTAAGGGAAAGACACCAGTACATATTCTTTGTCTTGTCTTAGACTACAGTTAATTCTTACATTCTGTCACAATTTAGGCTGAAAAGATTCTGATTATCTTTAAATTCTGAAAAGCATAACACTAGCCCACTACATTGATGGTATCATGCTAATCAGACATAGTAAGTAGGAAGTGAGACATCTACTGGACACACCAGTGAAAAACAGGTATGCCAGTGAGTAGTAGATAAACCTTATATAGAACCAAAAACTACCACACAGGAGACACTTTTAGGAACCCAATTATGTGGCCTAGGCCCTTACAAGGGTTTGCTTAAGTAAACTCCCTAATTCATCCCTGGGATCTCATTGAACCACAATTTCCTCAGTGGAGATTTCTGGTTCTCAGAACCAAATTGGAGTTCAGTAAAGACTTAGACTGTTCATTATGTTTTCCTTCAATTTCATAATTGAATATTTTATAATTGTATTTAATTAAGGTCTATATCTTTCACCATACTGTCAGTTACATGAAAATAAGACCATTTTAAACTACTATACTCTTAATACCTAGCACAATTTCTAGAATATGACAGATGCTTAGTAAATAAAATGAATGAAAGATGCTACAAAAGCAAAAGATATCCATATAGGAAGTGAACAGATAATTTATATAGTTTCCTTTGTACAATTTCACTTTCCAAAAAACATGTAAACATTTAAAACATTCCCCAAACTTAGCACTTGTACCATTTCAATTCTTTATAAGTTTACTTATATTCTGACAACATTATTTTAAGTCAATGGTAACATTAATAACTACAACCACTGTTCATTTATTAAGTATTGTATTTTTTGTGTCTTGGGCACTGTTCATCACCTATAACGTCCTTATGAGGTGAACAGTATATTATTTCTAGTTTAGAGATAAGAAAAAAACGATAGGCCTTAACAACATTAAGTTTCTTAGGGTGATAGAAAATGCATCTGAATGCAGGTTTGTCAGACTCCAAAGCTAATGTCAAAGTCAGAGTTCCTCTTATTGTCATGGTGTGTTAAGTTTGGTATTTAATAATCTCAAGTATATTAAATAAATTATTTTCTATAGGAAAAGATGAAGACAGAACAAAGCAGTATGAGTTCACAATGTTATGATGCCTGACATACTGTGTAAATGTCATTTCCATTTCACAAATTAAAAGTTGATGATGCTGAAAGATCTAGCTACTATTTAAAATCTTTACCTCTTCTGTGCACATCGAAGTAAACCACGTCCAAAATAAACTAAACACATAAAGTTTTCACAAATTTCATTTTCTTGAATTATCATCTTCATCACCAGAAATTTATTCTCAGCTTCTGTATAATCCTGTAGTGACATAAAACTGGTTTGGCTGATGTGAAAAGAATTTTGTTCTTTTATAATAAACAATTATTTCCCAAACTGGAGAATTTAGGCATTTTTGAGGATGATCCAATCATCTCACTTATTTACAACTTCAATCTTACCATCTATGTACATGATCACAAAGACAATGCATTCAGAACTTAAAATATTTATAAAAGAATACAATATCTCTAATCATAACATCTTTATCCAGTGTTTCAAAGTGAAAGTTATATAACAATTTTTGTATTTGAAATTGGAAAATATTACTAGTCAAAATAAGTGTTTTTCTGATCACTACTAGAGCATAATTCTCTGTCATTCTTAATGTTTCCTTCTAATTATAGCAGAATTCTAATTTTTCAAACTAGAAAGAAGTGACTCATTGACCATAGATATAATCTCATTTGGGAAAGCAACAGATAGATCATAAGTAATATACATTTGGAGGTAAAGCTCAGGATCAATTCCAAAAGATGCTTTAGCTATAAATAATAAAACAGGTATAATAGCAATGGTCTGGAAAAAGCAAGCAGAAAAAATCCTTCAAAGCCTTACAAATGTTCTCTAGTACATCAGACAGAATGATAATTAGTATTACATGAAATTATTTAAAATAGAAATGTCCTCAGTTTTTATACTTAAAAAATTCTACTTCACCTAATAAGTCATATTTATATGTTTATGATATCATATAAAAAATACCCATTTAGGAAAAAAAAGTGAAAGAAATCTCGAGGCTGCAAAGAAAACATTAAAAATCAGTGAAAAAAAAGAAAATGTAAGTTTAAAGGAAACTTTAGAAATTTTCTAGTTAACTCCCCAATTTTTATTTATTTGCACTTTATTTAACAAAAATTTTTGTGGTAGAACTCATATTTTACAAAAGGGGTAAGATTAAGAACATAGAGATTAAGGCACATTAGCAAATGAAATAAAATGTGCTGTACAAGTTAAAGCAGCAAAACAATCTTCTATTTTACACAAATGGTAAGCATCTAAAAAAATCACTTTAAAAAAGGTAAAGTTAGGGCAGTGTAAATACATGTCAAAAAAGGCACTGAAAGGTTTCAATTTCTAGAGAAGTTTTAAAAGTCAGCATTTTAATTTGCTAAAATAAAGTTAACATAATGGGCAAATAACACATACTACATACCTCTTTCTTTCCTCTTTCAGTGAGTGCTACTCCATATAAAAACAGTAATGTCAAATAATAACCAATATTAATTTGGTATGCCTGCAAAGAAAAAAAAATATGTTAATTGGTTAAACAGACCAAGCTACTTCTTGGTATACAAGTTTAATTAAATATCCTTGGCCTACTTAATAATTATGAAAAATGTTAAGAATTATTATTTTGTCAATTATATAATCAAAACTATAGAGTATGCATGTTTAGATCAATTTGATAATTTGATTTAAGAAGAGAAATTTAAAAAAATAAAAGCAAATGTAATTCATTATATTAAATTTTTTTAAAATTCTATATTTTATGTATCAAGAATACTTTAGGAAATAATATAATAATGAACAGGCAAGTATCTACCACCCATCTGAAAAAAATTCAATCACCTCTGACATCAAAATCCTTTACTCTCCACATGTTGGTTTTGTTTTAAAAATATAAAATGAAGCTTATCATTTCTTCAGTGAAAAATTTTAAATGTGTGGATATTTACTTCATTTAAATACCATTTACTCAAAATTACAGAGATGGAGACAGATTAAGGATAAGGGAAAGAAGCGAGGTAGAAGGGAAAGGTATAACTACAAAGGTAGCATGAACTGACTATGATAATGATTATACAAATACACACTTGTGATAAAATGTCACAGAACTATACATGCCTGTGCATAAAATAATCAACATAGCTGGCATGATACTAATATCCTTATTAAGGCCTGCCTACAAGGTTGATCCTTAGCTTTTGTATTGGAACTCGGGTTTCATTTTTTTTCCCCCACTATTTTCTAGCTGTTGAAGGTGGCTTGCTGGGCTTCAATTGTTTGAACTGAAATTTATGATGATAATGAGATTTATGCTGAAAACCTGGGAATTTTTTTTTCCTGGTAATTTGAAATTTTGATACATACCAGGCAAAAGATCCCTCAGATAACCAACCAATAAAAATGTGGAACACTTGAATGTCTAATGGACTACCCCTGGCAGAAGCAATACAGATGTTGCTACATTTGTGTTACCAGGGTTGAGAGGGAAGAGGGACAGCATACAATGCCCTGAGTACACGCAGGAGAAAATACAGGGAAACCTACAGATAGATTCCTTGAGATTCTATCTGTATCTTTTCCCCTGTGATCTGTTATAGATCTTTACTATAACAGGGTAATAAATCTTTCGCTATTAGTAAAATATGCTGACTCTACCTTGTAGCAAGTCTCTGAACATGAATGAAGGTGTCTTAAAGACCAGTGAAAGAACATTATCATAATACTGTAAATTTTCTGGTTTTAATAATGTACTGTAGTCATGTTGGAAGTAATAACTACTGGAAGTAAACTGGCTAAAGGATACACTAAGATCTCCTTTTATTACACAGTTAGAACATTTGTGAATCTATAATTATCTTGAGAACTGTTTGCTAATCTTGTTCCCAGAATGTGCTGTCCCCCAACTGCCAAACTGCAGAATGTACTTCCTCACCCAGTTGCAGGCAAACCGCCCACTCGCCCTGACCTGTCAATGAACTTCCCTCCCTGCCCTCTCCAAGAAAAGTATATAAGCTCTGCTTAAGCTGTTCTCAGGGCTCTCTTTGCTCTATTCAAGTGAGCTCTGAGCCCCAGCATGCTGGACCCCAAATAAACCCCTTGCTGTTGCATGAGACAGTCTCTTGGTGGTCTCTTCCTCCGACGCTCGCTTGACCTTTACATTTGGAGGTTCCACCAAGATCCGGCAGCAGCGGACGAAAGACCCCCAATGGTCTCGGGGTAAGTAAGGCGCCTCTTTCTGGTTTCTGATTTCTGGTTTCTGGTTTCAGGTTTCAGGTTTCAGGAGGGCTTCGCAAAGTGGCTGTTGGTGAAGAGCGTGAGCTCTCTCTGACAGTGGCTGACAGACGTGTCACAGAGCCACAGGCCACGTCCCTGGGGGATGCCCCAGAGGACTCGGGAAATCGAGGAACAGTAGTTTCCTCGACTCAGTATTCTGCAGTATTCTGCTTCGGATTTGGTTTGCCAGCCTGTCAGGTTTTGCCGGCTACTCAGTTCTGGTCTCTATCTCAAATTTGTGTTGAACGTTTACTGTCTGTCTTTATCGTCTGTGTTGTGTGTCCTTGCTTTCACTGTTTGTGTATCTTTCATTATGGGACAGAGCACTTCAACGCCTCTGTCCCTGACCCTTGATCACTGGACCGAAGTCCGCTTAAGGGCTCAGAATCTTTCTTTTTCAGTAAAACGCCGGACCTGGCAGACTCTCTGTGCCACAGAATGGCCCACCTTTGGAGTCGGATGGCCCCCAGAAGGATCTTTCTACTCCCCACTAATTCGAAAAGTCAGAGATATTGTCTTTCAGGAGGGGCCACATAGCCATCCAGATTAACAGCCGTATATCTTAACTTGGCAGGACCTCTGTGAATCTCCTCCTCCATGGTTGAAGTCTTTCCTTGTCCCTGCCCCTGCTCCTACTCCTTCCCCCACGATTCTCTCTCTCAAACCCTCTGCTCCTCCTCCTCCACCCTATGTTCTCCCTGAGTCTCAAGGTTTGACTCTACTGGACTCTCCTCCCCCTCCTTATCCCCTGCTCTGGTCCTCCAACCCCCAACACCCTCTAAGTGATTCTCCTGCTGCTGACTCAGCCTCTCCACCATTGGAGGAAGCTGAGCCGGCCCAGCGCCCTCCAGATGACTCCCCCGCGGCACACACAGCTCCTCCTCCCCTGGAGGAAGCTGGCCTGGCTAAAGAAACTCGCCGGCGGCAAATGATTAAAAACCCTGAAGCCCCCATGATACTCCCGCTCCGTCCTTATGGGCCAATGATAGAGGATGGCCATGGTGGAGAAATGCAAGCCTACCAGTATTGGCCTTTCTCCTTTTCAGATCTATATAACTGGAAAAATAACAATCCCCCTTTTTCCGAGGACCCCACCCGGCTCACAGGTCTGATTGAGTCATTGATGTTTTCACACCAGCCTACTTGGGATGACTGCCAACAACTCCTAGGCACTCTCTTCATGACAGAGGAACGAGAGAGAATCCTCCTGGAAACTAGAAAAAATATCCTCGGACCAGATGGGCGACCAACACAACTTCCCAACATAATCGAAGCCGACTTCCCCTTGAACCGACCCAACTGGGACCCCAACACCTTTGAAGGTAGGGAGCATCTGTCCACTTATCGCCGGGCTCTAATAGCTGGTCTCCGAGCGGCCGCTAAACGGCCAACTAATTTGGCCAAGGTAAGAGAGATTATTCCAGGGCCTAATGAATCTCCCTCTATGTTTCTGGAGAGAATTATGGAGGCATATAGGAGATATACTCCTTTCGATCCTCAGGCAGAGGATCAAAAGGCATCTGTCACGATGGCCTTTATTATGCAAGCTGTTCTGGATATTAAAAGAAAGTTACAACGCTTAGATGGATTACAAGATATGACTTTGAGAGATTTAGTCAGAGAAGCCGAGAAGGTATACTATAAGAGAGAAACTGAGGAAGAGAAGGAACAAAGGAGGGAGAAAGAAAGGGAGCAAAGGGAGGATGAGAGAAGCAAAAGACAGACTAAGGCATTGACTAAGGTCCTGGTCACAACAACAAATAGGCCAGAAATTAAGAAACAGGGAGACAGGAAGGGATACCTGGGCCCACGCCAAAGGCCACCCCTGGCCTCAGATCAATGTGCCTACTGTAAAGAAAAGGACACTGAGCCAAAGAGCGTCCTAAAAAGAGACAGCCACGCCAGTCAGCCATTCTGACTCTGGAGGATGACTAGGAAAGTCGGGGCTCAGATCCCCTCTCCAAGCTCAGGGTAACTTCTGAAGTGGAGGGGACCCCAGTAAACTTTGAAGTGGATACAGGGGTAATATACTCAGCCCTTAAGGCCCCATTGGGCCCTCTATCAAATAAAAGGTCTCTAGTTCAAGGGGCTAATGGCAGTAAATATCGGGCTTGGACAACTAAGAGGACCATGGACCTGGGGAAAGGAAAAGTCTATCACTCCTTCCTAGTGATCCCAGAATGCACGGCCCCATTGATGGGCAGAGATCTGCTCACCAAGCTCCGGGCCAGAATAACTTTTAACCCTGAAGGCCCCAAATGGAATTTCTAAATCCTTCAGTAAAAACTCCTATAGTCATGGCTTTAACTGTATCAGCAGAAGATGAACATCAACTCTTTACATCTCCAAGACAGATCAAACAGGCAAGCTACCCCAGAAATGGATAACAGATTATCCAGATGCCTGGGCAGAAACTGCTAGGTTAAGCCTAGCCGTGAAACAACCTCCAATAACAGTGGAGTTAAAAACCTCAGCCTCCCCAGTCAATGTCAAATAATATCCTCTGAGCAAAGAAGCTAAAGATGAGAGAAGGCCCCATATTCACAAATATCTGGCCTTAGGGGACCTAAGGCCCTGTCAATCAGCCTGGAACACTCCCCTGGTACCAGTAAAAAAGCCAGGAACCGAGGACTATCACCCCATTCAAGACCTAAGAGAGATCAACAACAGAGTGCAGGACATTCACCCCACGGTACCCAATCCGTACAATCTGCTTAGCACTCTGAACCCTGAATGAAAATGGTATACTGTTCTGGAATTAAAAGATGCTTTCTTTTGCTTGCCTCTGCATAAAGATAGTCATTTGCTGTTTGCTTTCGAGTGGGTAGACCCAGAAACCGGAACGTCTGGTCAACTAACTTGGACCAGTCTCCCACAGGGGTTCAAAAACTCCCCCACTCTCTTTGATGAGCCCTCCACAGGGACCTAAATGACTTTAGAACTGCGCACCCAGAAGTCACCCTACTCCAATATGTGGATGACCTGCTGCTGGCAGTCAACACCAAGGAAAACTGTGAGTCTGGGACCCAAGCACTACTATCCGAGCTTGCTCAACTCAGGTATAAAGCTTCTGCCAAAAAGGCCCAAATTTGCCAGCAAGAAGTAATCTTCCTGGGCTATTCCCTTAGGGGCAGTAAACAATGGCTCACTGAGCCCAGAAAACAAACCATTGTGCAGATACCACCCCCATCGAACAGGAGGGCGGATGAAGAGGCTAAATTGGCAGCCCTAAACGGAGTAACCATGTTAACACTTTCCACACCAGGGGAACATAAGTCAGGAGACTTAACTACGTCGGAGTACCCCGACAACTTAACATCTAAGGACACTAACACTGAACTCCTCAACTTCACTGAGCCCAGCCTGCAATTTTAGAAATCCCTACACTACGTTAAAAATGTACATCAACTCACTCACCTTGGTTCAAAGAAATTGCAGGCATTTCTGAAGGATCAAGAACAGAGTTTTCCACTAACCGGCTCATAGCGAAAGGAAATAGCTGAACGGGTAACAAAAGCCTGTCGGGTCTGTCAATTGGTTAATGCTTACCCTTCCAAGCTTCCTGCAGGAAAGCACCTTCGAGGAACCAGACCACGACAATTCTGGGAAATGGACTTTACTGAAATTAAGCCAGCAAGGTATGGACTTAAATATCTCCTAATCTTTGTAGAAACATTTTCAGGATGGATTGAAGCCTTCCCCACAAAAAAAGAAATGGCGCAAATGGTGGTCAAGAAGATCCTTGAAGATATTTTTCCAAGATACGGCCTGCCTATGGTAATAGGGTCTGATAATGGACCGGTGTTCGTGGCCCAGGTAAGTCAGGGGTTAGCCAGGACCCTGGGGATTAATTGGAGGTTACATTGTGCTTATAGACCCCAGAGTTGAGGACAGGTAGAAAAAATGAATAGAACCATTAAAGAGACCTTAATGAAATTAAGCTTAGAGACTGGCATAAAAGATTGGACTATGCTCCTGCCTTATGCACTGTTTCGTGCAAGAAATACTCCCTCTGTTTCTTTGTGTAACCTCACCCCCTATGAAATTCTCTATGGTGCCCCTCCTCCAGTAAGGGACCTAACCCCAACTCTAAGACCTAACAATTCCTTTCACACCCCCTTGCTTGACAGACTTAAAGCTCTTGAAAGAACCCAGCGATACCTATGGAAACAGCTGGCCACTGCCTACCAACCTGGGGACAAAGGGACTCAACACCGATATCAAATGGGAAACTTCGTCTATGTAAGACGACATCAGGTGTCATCCCTAGAACCCCGCTGGAAAGGACCATACAGGTGCTACTTATAACACCTACAGCGGTAAAGGTAGACAGAATTACTTCCTAGATCCATGCCTCTCATCTCAAGCCTATGCCCTGTCCAGACTCTGGCTGGAAATTGGAAAAGACTGGTACCCTTTCAAATTGCGTATTCACCATGTGGATAGGGCTATAGACTCTCCTCTTGACTACCAGTAGTCCTAACCCTCATCAACCCGTTCAGCAGCGATGGCTGATCACAAATCCTACTGGACAGGAAGTATGGTCTATCTCACATACAGCCCCCTTAGGGACCTGGTGGCCATCTCTCCACCCAGACATTTGTCAGCTGGCTATAGGTCTTTCCTATTGGGATATCCCTGATAAAGAGGATCCCACTAAAATTCCATTAAATCCCCCCTTCCGTACCATAGATAATGGAAACAAACATTATGGATGTAGGGACATGCGAGCCAGATGCAGGTTGGCTAACCTAGATTACTATGTTTGCCCGGCGAACTATTGAAGCCACAAACAGTCACGGCTGTGTGGGGGAAAAGCCGACTTCTTCTGTAAGTCATAGGGATGTGAGCATACAGGGGCTGCCTGGTGGAACCCAAACTCCTCATCAAATTTCAGAACACAGCATTGGCCATATTACCAATTAGATAACCAAAACAGATGGCCCCCAGAGGGGTCTCTAGATCCTCAAATTCTGCATGACCTTTTTAACTTCTGCAAGTGCTCAAAAGGGTGAAAGGAGATTCCCCTATGTGGAGGCCTTTTCCCTCCTTCGCTCACATTCTGAACTATGCTTCTCCAATAGATCCTCACCCTCAGCCTTCTGCTCCAGACTCTCTGCTGTCACTCCCACCTCAGCAACCTGATTTCTCCCCTCCAATTACTAGATCAAAAACCCAAACCTCCACCGGTTCTCAGACCATTGCCCCCATGCTGAGGTAGCAGTTACTGAGGTACCTCTCCACCCACTCACTCCTCTCTTCTCCTGTCAGTGCCCACACCAGGTCCCACCAGGTCCTCTTACCAGCTAACCCAAAGCTCAAACCAGCTGAAAAGAGCCCTAAGACCCCTATCCAAGATGTAATGAAAATGGCCTTTAAAGTTGCTTTGTCATCACTGAAAACAGGTTACTAAGAATTTAAAGTCCCTCACAGGCTTTTTGGGATACTCACTCCCATCTTCCCCTCTGCTCTACCTGTTCTAATACTCAAGCTAGGAAAATCCCAAACTGCTTTCCCATTCTCCACGGAGCTACTCTCAGTCCCACCTTCCCCGTCTTCCCCCTCTGTACCAGGCCCACAAAAAAGTCTTAACTGACCTTCTCCAGAAGTCTTCACCATGGCTGACTTTAGGACTTTCAGCAAAAGAGTCCCTATAAAAGAGTTCAGTATAGATAAACTTCCTCTTTTCATGTTGCCCTGTTCTACTTGGCCATTGGCTGGAAAAATCAGCACTCCTAAGCTAAACATCCCCTTACTAGTTTTTCACAAAATATGTGAACAAGGCCTCTGACCTTGAGCTGGGGCTTCACAGAGATGGCTACATTTCTAAGATAAAGAAGTTACCAACTGGGCTCCATGGTAACAGCTGGCAGGGGAAAAGAATAAGGGAAGAAAAAGCTCTCCCCCTCCCAGGTGTCCTTGAAAAGTTAACTTGCCTAGAACAGAGGAAAAAACAGAAACAAAAACTGCTTTTTATAAACTTCTGCAGACTGTGAACTTCTGAGCCCCTTCCCTTACATGTTGGGTACAAAATTCTGAAACTACCTAAACTTGGGGTTCAGGGGATTAATTGATTACAACAGAAGCAATGCCCTCTGAATCCGGTTGCAACCAAATAGTACTATTTCCTTGTCTTTGGTACTATCTTAGGTGCCTTGCCTTGTCCGTCCCTACAACAGTATAATTCTATATACTTAAACATTGTTTGTTTTCATAAAATGGTCAACAGATTTAATTAATTATGTAATGGTGTAGATGTTTCCCAGAGTGCTCTATCATGACACAGGTTCACTTGAAGATCAAATGGGGGGCATACAACCCGGTTTCGCCAGGAACCTGTATCCTTCACTAGCCATCCTATTAGGAATAGGAGTTGCTACAGGGGTGGGCACAGGAACCACTGTCCTGGTCCATGGGACACACAAATGACCCAATTAGAAGCAGCAATAGACCAAAACTTAAAGATATTAAAACCTCCATCACAGCTTTGCAGGAATCTTTAACCTCTCTCTCTGAAGTTGTTTTACAGAACAGGCGAGGGTTGGACTTCCTCTTCATGAGAGAAGAGGGCCTTTGTGCTGCATTGAGGGAAGAATGTTGTTTTTATGCCGACCATACTGGAGTTGTAAAAGAATCTATGAGTAAATTAAGAAGACGCCTTGAATAGCGTCAGCGAGAGAGAGAGAGGCCCAAAAAGGGTGGTATGAGTCTTGGTTCACACAGTCCCCCTGGTTAACTATGCTTTTATCAGCCCTGGCCGGTCCATTAATATTCCTTATATTGTTGCTAACTATAGGACCCTGTTTGCTCAACCGTGTAGTTTCCTTTCTCCAAGCCCAAATTGGACAAGTCAAACTTGAAAAGTATACAAGCTTTGCTTAAGCTGTTCTCAGGGCTCTCTCTCTTTGCTCTATTCAAGTGAGCTCTGAGCCCCAGCATGCTGGACCCCAAATAAACCCCTTGCTGTTGCATGAGACAATCTCTTGGTGGTCTCTTCCTCCAATGCTCGCCCGACCTTTACAATGTTGGAAGTAATAACTATTGGAAGTAAACTGGCTAAAGGATACACTAAGATCTCCTTTTATTACACAGTTAGAACATTTGTGAATCTATAATTATCTTAAAATGAAAAGTTAAAACAATTATCTGTGGAGAAAAATATTTTTCATTCTATTTATGAGGGCTAATTTTATCTGTCAACTGGACAAGCTACAGGCGGCCCATATTAAACATTAATTCTAGGTGTGTCTTCGAGGGTGTATTCAGAGAGATTGGCCTTTGAATTGATAGACTTAGTATCTGACCCTCCACACATGGGTAGGCATTTTTCAATTCACTGAGGGTCTGAAGAGAATAAAAGGCCAAAGAAGGAAGAAGTCACCATTTTTGCTTCTTGTATACTTGTCTAAGGAAGGATATCGAATCTTATTTTCTGCTCTTGGACTATGATTTATACTACTGGCTCCCCTGGTTCTGAGTTTCCAGCTGTAGATGTATGTATGTACACACACACACACACACACACACACACACACACACACACATATAATACACATTCTTTCTTCCTAATAAATCATATATATGTGTGTATATACATATTTTGGTGTGTGTGTGTATATATAACATAAACTAGTTCTGTTTCTCTGAAGACCTTTAAGTCCACTACTCTTACACTCTATACTGACTGAAGAGTACAACTGTACTCTATACAAATGTCAGGTGAAGTGTTCTAATGGGGGTTGCCGCATACCATAAGCAAGTTTTTTCCAGGTATAAGGATGATTAACATCCGTTAAGATATAAACTTCCTTTTTATGTTGATCTAGTATTCCCTCACCCTAGCACACTTCTTATGACCAACTGTATGTATCTGTGAGACAAATGAAGAGAATTAGAAGTTTGGCTTCAAAAGTTGTGGAAACAGATGTCGTGCTTGTTTTCAATGGACTAAATAAGTTTATAAACTTCCTGTACTTTCTAACTGGTTTCCACCTTAAAATTCCCATCTCTGAAGAGTCAGTACAATGTTATAGTTGAGAGCATAGACTCTGAAGCCAACACTATATGAATTGTATACTAACTCCACTACTTACTACCTGGAAATTAGCAAGTTATTTAACCTTTATGCCTTGGTTTCCTAAACTAAAAAATGGGAATAATAATTACAAAGAGTAGATAAACTAATCTTTACAAAGTGCTCAGAAAACTGGCTATCATGTAGTAAACACTAAATAAATGTGGCTATCATTTTGCAATTTTTTAAAAAATCAGCTTTGTACAATAGTCTGTGCCTCACGCAATTCTAAATAAAAACATTTTTGAGAACAAGATGCAGAATTGTGGTAATACTATAATCAGAAGGCAAAAAACTCCAGAAATTTCAAAAGCAGCATATTTATGACTGTTGGGACCTCTGCTGACTACGGAAGTGCAACTGCTGGGGTAAAAAAAAATCCCCAATCTTGGGATTCTGGTTTTGTGATTCTCCATGTACATGACAGTTAGAGCTTGAGAAATAGCTTCCATATACGTGCCTGAACGGCCCCAAGATATGGCTTCCACAAACACAAAGAATAACTCCCCAGCAACAGGGCACACATATCTAATGGGGTATTGTTTCTGCAACTAGGGTAACGGGGCTCTGTTTCTGCAACTAAGGTAACAGGGATCTGTTTCTGTAACTGGGGTGCCTAGGCTACCCCAATCTGGGGGACTCTTCGATCTCTGACTGGCCCCTGCCTTTGCCCCCACCTCTCTTCTCCTCTCTCTATATAAGTCCTCTCCCTCCACAATAAACTGAGTTGCTGCGCCATCTCGGCTGACTCAACTCAGAACTCGGTGTGATTTTTCCCAGGCAGGGTGGCGGGCCTGGTCCCGACACTCACCCTCTCGCTCAGCCCAGAGACACTCACTAGCTGGTCTAGTGATTCTCCTCAACCTCTGTCGGAGGGCGGTCCGACATATGACCTTATCTCTGCCCTTTTTTCCCTATCTTATCCCAGTTAGCAAAGATGATTTGAAGTACTAGAACCAAATGGCTACAGATGTGACTGGCATCTACACTCCACCCCTGCAACCCAGTGCTGCCTCTTACAAACAAACTGGTCTTGCTCCTCCTTGATGGTCTTCAAGGACAAGGAGAACAATTTGGATATAGCAGTAGGTTTGATCATAACATTAAAAGTCAGCTCACAAGTGCTACCAAGAGAGGGAACTCTTCCATTTCCTATTTCTGTTCAAGATTCATCTTTAAAAAAACTTGGACAATGTTCATTATATACTGTTATACTTCATTGATTGTCAATCTGATTAGCAAGCAGCAGTAGATACACATGCTAGGGATACCAAGATGCAAACTTCCTTTTCTTTGGATTCTTTTTTGAATACATCTAGAACCTCTTTATTTCTGCATGTATTCTGCAAAAACTAAATAAGGATTAATGTTTAACCCCTTTGTACATCCTTATAATATGGAATATTTTATTTTAGGACTATCTTTTATGGCATTTAAACAGTACTTTTTGAAGGTAAACATAATCTATCTTTCTACATATATGCAGAATTCAGTTTACTTTACAGATTCAAGTTATGCCAAAAATTGTTTTTTTATTTTATTGCCCTTTTATTATTATTATTGTTAGTAGTAGTAGTAATGGTAGTAGTAGTAAAGTAAACTGGCTAAATTAATGGAGGATACCAGGGATTGAACTTAGGGGACATGACCACTAAGGCACATCCCCAGTTCTATTTTGTATTTTATTTAGAGACACTGTCTTGATGAGTTGCTTTGCTGAGGCTGGCTTTGAACTCCTACCTTTGAACTCCTGCTGGCTTTGAATCTCCTGCCTCAGCTTCCTGAGCTTCTGGGATTACAGTTGTGTGCCACTGTACCCAGCTATAACCGGTTTCAGAATGGCTAAATCAAGATAATTAACATGCATGATCTCACATATTTATCATTTTATGTAGTAAGAAGACTTAAAATCTAATTCACATTATTAAAAATGCAATATATCATTATTAACTATAGCCACAATGTTGTATAATATCTCTTAAACTTATTATTTCTCCTATCTAACTGAAATTTTCTATCCTTTTTTTTTTTTTGACCAATATCTCCATCTTCCCTTCTTTATCCTCTGGAAAAGTGCTATTCTATTCTCTATTTGTACAAATTCAACATTTTTTAGATTGCACATATCAGTGACATCATACAATTTTTGTCTTTCTATGTAAAAACCTTATTCTTATTCTTATTTTTGAAGTTCATGACTTTTCATTCCTAATTTGGAAAGCATAGTTCTACAAGTTCAAGTTTCTGATAACTCAACCAGTTTTTTGGTAGAGAAGAGAGCTAGAATAAGTTCATTATAGAGATGCAGTCACATATGGAAGTAAGATAAAGGAAGGAAATAAATTCTATGTACTCTTCTCTAGAGGTAAAAGAAGAAAAGATAAATCGGCTTACACCTCTAAATAAAAATGCATTGATGTTCCTGCATTAAAACATGCTGTCCACTTAAGATGATCATGGGCAAAATGAGTAAAAATAAGTACTCTTAAGCAGAGGTTAAAGGTACATGTTGGTGACACAGTGTAATGGCACATGCTTACTGTCCTCGGTACTCTCTAAGATGTGTAAAACTTGTTCTTATCATGTATTACCATAGAATATTGTCCAGTGCTTGCTGTTGTCCTTTATTATCATGAGGGGTTGGTTCCAGGACCCTACCCCTTCTAGAGATGCTGTATCTCTTACATATAATGATAGACTATTGGGCTGAGGTTGTAGCTCAGTGCTAGAGTGCTTGCCCAACTTGTGTGAGGTGCTGGGATTCATCCTCAGCACATCTAAACATAAATAAATAAAAAAGGTATGGTGTGCATCTACACTAAAAAAAGTTTTTAAAAATGATAGAGTATTTGCATGTAATCTACTAAAATCCTCCCACATATTATAAATCATCTTTAGATTACTTATAATATCAAATACAATGTAAATGCTACAAAATTAGTTATTATGCACTATTGTTTAAGGGATAATAATATGATTAAAAAGTATGTGCATATTAAATACAGATACAACTATTATAGGCCTAACTATCTTTTTGGTTTGAAGTTGGTTAAATTCAGATCTATCGAACCTGTGGCTATGGATGACTAACTGTACGTCTTTTTTGTGACATTCCCCCAAATGCTCTCTTTGTACAGTCTGCTTTGGTCCACTTCATCTGCAGTTTTTTTTATTTAGTCTGTTTCTATCACTTAAGTGATAGCCTTGAAAAATCAATTTTGTGAGGTAATTCTAAATTCCTGACTTGTTAATATGGGCATATAAGTCAAGTAGGGATATTACATTGAGACAATGGGACAATAAATTTTTTTGAGGCTCTGAAAAAAATAAATGCTGTCCAAGTTCCATTATTTCAAGGAATATACTTACAGTATAATTAGTAGCTTGAATGTTCCTAAGTGCTGTTTCCAATTGTGTTATCAAAAAACGTAAAGTTAAAGCAGGAACAATTTCCTCCCCATTCTGGCTATTTGCTGCAACTTCTCTCTGAAAAATAGGTTAGTTGAGAATTTCTTTAAGTTAGAACAAATACCTATAGATATTTATATTATACCAATAATACATGCTCACTAAAGAAAAATTGGAACAGATAAAGATGGTTTTCAAAAAATCTACAGCACCCAGGTATACTCATGTTTGTTAATTATAAGTAGTTGATGAATCTCGTTTGTAACTATTTCTTATAAACACTAAAAGCAAGAGGTTGGCAACATCAACTCCTACTTCAGAGTAAAAGAAGTAATTCTACTTTACTCTCATTATTTCTCTTCATAAGTATAGGTAAAATCTTCTTTCCAGCCCTGAATCTGGGGTAAATAGAAACTATGGCAGTACTACCAAAAATCAGGGCAAGCATTTTATACCAAATTAGAGAAAATGAGCTAATATGCACTTTTGTTTTCTACCTACTTTGTTATTCACATGGATAAAATTAAAGAACTATGTCTTTTCTGTGTGCTGATTCCTCAAAGTTGTACCCTCAAATGCTTTAAATTATATTGTATTTAATGATGTATATAACCTGTGAAAAATTTAATCTATAATTTCTTTGTATGTGTGTGTGCCTGTGTGTTACTGAGGATTGAACCCAGGGACACACACAGGCTAGGCAATTGCTCTATTACTGAACTACATCCCCAGCCCTAATCTACACTTTGTAAACTTGATTTCCAGTATATAATACTTTCCTTCTTTTCTCCTAACTAACTAGATACTGTATTTCAGTCTCCCCAGCAGATGACTCAATAAATCTCTTTTGTTATCAACACACATTCCCTAAAGTAATCCACTGTTATATTTTAAAATATTATCTACAAACTGATAGTTCCGAATTTATTTTTCTAGTCCACAATTGTCACCTGAATTACAGACTCATATATTCAACTATTTACTCAATATTATTTCTTGAATTTGAATAGGCATATAAAACATAACACTAAAGTTATACCTCTGTCAAACGGGCTAGGTAATTTCAGATCAATCCTCCTGATGAGAATGACTAAAAATGCTAAATAAAATATGAAAATCACTGAAAGCAATGGAATGCCATAAAGGCATTGAAAATCTCTGAAGCCAACATGCAGGAGAGGTGGAAGACCCAAAGTCATGAGATAGACTTAGAACCACTTTTCTAAAGCAACTGCCAAATTCACTTGTGGCTAAAATGCCAGGCAGAGCTCTCAGGAGATGGCAGAGTTAGAGAAAAATTAGAGTGCACGGCAGGGACTCTAGTAAACACCTTATTCTTTTGTTTTGGTTCTAATAAAAGCAGACTATAATTAAAAGACCTGAATGCAAGTAGTTTATTTGGGAGGTAGAGAATAATGGTTAGAAAGGGGAAAATGATGAGAAGAAAAAGCAAGCTTTTAATAAAGCACAATGGGCAACTGGGGTTCATATAACAGCGACACTCTGGACTCTTGAAAAATAAAAGCCTAAGATTTACTTGACTAAAGGGGAAATGGAAAAGGAGTATTTATATAATAACTTCTAATTTATTTCATAACTTTTAATACATTGGTTGAGTGCTTTTGGGTGGGGGGATTAATAAGAACTTCCGAAATGCCAGATGTACAAGCATTCAGCAGTTTTAAACAGGCCTCGAGGCATAGATGTAGATATTAAAACACAACTGACCAGAGCATACTGAAAAGATAGTGTTTCAAGAATATGTGCGAGGCACTGACAACAGACCCTTTCTCATGAAACAGAAGTAAGTTTAGAATTATTCCAATCCTTGGGTGAATTACTTAAATCTAACAGAAAAGCAAATAAGCAAAGACTAGGGGAAAATTAGAGTGCATGGCTTATCAAAGAGAAGGGACTTCCACCTCTCCTGCATGTTGGCTTCAGAGATTTTCAGTGCTATTATGGCTTTCCATTGCTTTCAGTGATTTTCATATTTTTAAGTATTGTTTTTAGTTGTAGATGGACACAATACATTTATTTTATTTGTTTCTATTTTTATGTGCTGTGGGGATCGAACCCAGTGTCTCATGCATGCACTCTACCACTAAGCCACAATCCTACCCGATTTTCATATTTTGTTTAGCATTTTTAGTCATTCTCAATGGGAAAATTGATCTAAAATTACCTAGCCTATTTGATAGAGATGATAACTTCAGTGTTATGTTTTATATGCCTAATCAAATTCAAGAAATAATGTTGAATAAATGGTGAATAAATCTGTAATTCAGGTGATAATTCTGGACTAGAAAATATGCAGATTTTTCCTGTTTTCTAGTTCTTCACAGGAAGTTGTTTTGAAACAACTCAGGCAACTACTGCAAGTAGCAGAATTCACTGTCATCTTTTCAATGATTATGGAATTTGTATTGATATTTATGTTTATTTGTGATTACTTGGATTATTCTTGTTTTCTTTCTTTTTTCAAATATTATTAGGCACTAGTTAGTTTTATTGATTCTATTTTATGTTTTATTTCATTTAACTATCCTTATTACTTCTTTTTATTTTTAACTTTCTGTTCTTCTCTTAATGTCTTAAAGTTCATGCATAAATGACTGATATTCAACCTTGATTCTTTTTCTAACTCATGAATTGTAAGCTATAAATTTTCCTCATAGCACTGCTTTAGCTAATAACGTAAGTTTTAATATATAGTTGTTATTCAGTTCAAAAATGTTAACTTCCATTGCAATTTCTTCCTTGACCTATATATACCCTAGATCACAAGCATCTATCTTAAGAACATGAGATTTCCTAGTTTTATATTTTTATTATTATTTCTAGACTAATTGCTGATGTTCTATATGCTTTTTATGAGTTAGTTGATCCTTTAAAATCTAAAGAGACTCGCCTTGTGACTTAGCCAATTTTTGTAAATGTTCTATATGCACTTTTTAAAAAATGTATATTCTACCACTGTTGGAAGTAGTGTATTGTGCTTGTGTCCCCTAATGGGATGAAGTTTGCTATATGACAACACACTTTGTGTCAGCAGTTTTTAAAAAGGACAGTATTAAAATCTCCCAGTGAAATTGATCATTGTCCCTTTACTATTCAGTTTTTATTTTTATTTATTTATATATATATTTTTTTACAGTATTGGGGATTGAGCTCAGGAATGCTTTACCACTGAGCTACATCCAGAACCCTTTTATTTTTAATTTTGAGACAAGGTCTCACTAATTGCAGAGGCTGGCCTCATACTTGCAATCCAATTGCCTCAGCCTCCCAAGCATTGATTAGAGATATGTGCCCCCTCCCACCATGCTCAATTTTTATCACTTTATCATTCATAAAAGTTCCTTGTGTATATATCTCTATTTCATCTGCAATTTGGGTTCTATTTTCTAGTCTTATTCATGTGTAATGTCAAGAACAAGTAACACAACCTTTTAGTTATTAGTCTTTTAGTAAGTCTTAATATGTAAGTCAGCAAATTTCTGAGCCCTTCTCCTCTACAGTTCTCTTAGAAAATTTTCTTGGTTGTTTTTCCTCTTATTTCTCATTTGAACTTCAGAATTATCTTTTAGTAACAACAATAACAAAAATCTTTTCAAATTGGAATTAGTTGATATTTAATTTAGGAAAAATTGAGAACTTTATTATACCATGTATAGAGAGCTACCTGCATATTTTCCACTCAGGTCTCCTTTTTTTTTTATACTCTTCATAGGGTTTTAGAGATATTTATTTATTGTTTTAGTAGAAAGCATTGATTTCTAAACTTAGCTGTGAATAAAATCAGGGTAAATTCTTGCTAAACTGCAGATTCCCAGACCTACCCCAAGAGATTTTGATTCTTTAGTACTTATATATGGTTTTGACATTATCATGTGAGTGACTTAGGATGAACTTTGAAAACTATCCTAGTTTATCTTATGTATTTCTTAGTTGTTTTCTTGAGTATTTAATTTTTTTTTGCTATTGTAAACAAAAACTTTTCTTCTATTCTTACTTTCTAATTGACTATGCATACATAAGGTTTATTGATTTCTGAGTCTAGTTGTTTCTTGATATTTTTCAAAGTACAAGAGGAAAAAAAGGAGTCAAGACAGATTCAATCATAGTAACTGATCTCAGTTAAGGTTATAACTACATATAAAATCGTAGGAAAAGTTTCAGAGTTTAAATTTTTAATTGTAACAGCATTAATTTATTTCATGAAAACAATCATGTATTTTTTACATATAGAAGGTACAAATGTGGTATTTTTAAGATACCTAAGGTGTACTGCCCCCACTGCCATTTAACTGACACAGATTAAAGAGTACATCATTTTTCTTAACTTTGGAAAACACTATTAATTTAAGAAATAGTTCCATTACTATATTGGAAGCTAGCACAAATTATTTTTTAGAGAAACTATTTGCAAGATGGAAATCTATATATTCTTTAGAATATGTATTTCACTCATAAAATCCAAAAGTTTTGCATATCATTTCTGTTTTACAGGTTTTAAAAAAAATTTAGTAAAACATTAGAAAACTAAAAACATTCTCTTGTCCCAGAGTGTCACAATGAAGGAGGCTAGGAAGATGGCAGAGTAAAGGAAAGCTACATCCCAAGTTGTGCCATGGCATGGAGCTAAAACAGTGGATGTATAGCTTCTGAAGGCTACATGGAACCAACCTGGAGGCCACCAGTGTAGATTCACCTCAGACAGAGGAAGAGGGAACAAACACAGACTTAGTTGAAAGAAATGTGAGATAAAAAATGCTGCCTAATCTTAACAGATTCAGAGGCTGCATTGCATGCTGGTGCTTAAAAATCATGCTGTATATGTCAACTGGCTGTGGAGAGCTGAGTAGGAGCCATCTTGGGACAAGTGCGCTGCCAGAATGGCAATTCTGGAATTTAAGAGATCAGGAGGCAAAAGAAACAAAAACCAAAAAAACAGTGACAACATCCAGGCAGTACCCATTTTTGAGGGACCTATGCTGGGCCTCATGAAACATGAGAAACAGACACGGAGTAGACTATACCCAGGGGCATTCGAGTCAGAAGGGTGAAAGGGACCCCAACTCACCTCTCCTTTGTGTTTATCTTATGTATATGAAGCAGGCTGGGAGTCTCCACAGGTAGGGGTGAATACACTCAGGGATTAAACTCAGGAAGGCTGTGATCCTGGGCAGCAGACTGGATTTTGTGAGAGGCTCCTTAAAACCAACCTCCAAAGAGATCAGCTACAGTCTAGCTCTAGGTGTCAATCTAGTCACTCCAAAGAGGGCTCTACCCAACAAAGCCTGATTAGACCTCAGTCCACTCTCCTGGCAAATGAACAAAATGCCAAGCAGTACATCCTAACCCAACCCACCTCATACTGATAAGAAGGGAAGCTGAGTCTTACATCAAACAGCTTCCTTCTTAGACCACTTCAATTGGAAGTTCAGAGAGCAACACAAAAACAGGAAGGAATTAACAACTTTTACCCTTTGCTCTTAGTATATTACTTAAGAAGAAATGGAAAGAAAGTCTATTGGACATAAGCAGTGCCCACCTACTCTGGTCAATTATTTTGATTACCTCAGTGGAGAAAGTTCCTTCATTCTTCACTAAGATTTTGGAATTTTTAAAAGTTATTTTATTTTTTATTCTTTCCATATGTGTATATGAGACAGAAAGTGTGCATGCATGTGAATTCTGGCTGTGTTGATTGGTTCAGAATCATATACATATACTTATTTTTCCCCCCTGATTTTCAGCATTTTTTAAAAATATTGTAATTACTTTTTCCTAGCATTATCTTCAGAGTATTCAGACTTTTTAGACTGTATATTTTAGTTTGGTTTTGTATTATTTTCATTTGTTTATTTCTCTTGTTTTTCTTTCTCTTTTCCTGCTAATAGCCAAATTCTATTGTTTCATTCCTTCTTTCTTGATACATGCTGCTTGTATTTTTTCCATTCTTTCATTATAAAGATTACTTGATACATCTCTTCTGCATTCTCTGTTCACTTTCTGAAATTGTAAAGTGTTTCTTAACTACTTAACATGTTTCCTTTTCCCGTAAATAACTCTACTTTTACCACATTTCAGAACTTATTGGTCTCTATAACTCATACCCCCAGCATTAATGCTAAATACAATCATTACTGTTGTGGATGATACAGTTGACACCTGCTCTTTTCTTTCAAGCCAGATCTAGTTCACGGTTATTGTTCTTACCATTGACAAGTGCTAAAATACCATTCCTCTTTATTAGTGACAATTTGCTTTAACACTGTGTATTGTTTATTGTTTGCAACAGTTGTTATTATGATGTATGTTGCCCCATTCTGTGAGGTGCTGGGAATCTATAGGGACACTAAAAGTTCAGAGATTAGAGACTGCTACAGAACTAAGCATTCCCTAACATTACTCCAACTTAAAGAAGTAAGGAGACAAAAGTCCCAAACCAACAAGAATCAGAGGAGGAACAATCAGAGGGAACTTAGGTCATACCCTTGACATTTATGCATACACCAAAAACAGAGAGAAGTCCTAGAAGAAATAAGGTAACTATAAAAGGATATGCACACAAAAAATGATAGGGGTCATAAATTGCAACTGATTTTCATGCATCTATGAGTTTGTTGGAATAACCCAACTACTATAAAGCTCTTTTTAAAAAAGAAGTAGTAGTAAAATGAAGATTCCAAGACCTGAGTTACAATGCATGAGTTAAAAAAAAAAATCATTTACATAGAGCTATTACTTCTGCCTCAAAGACAAATTATAATGTTACCTGCATGGTCTGGAAAGAAAAATCTTCTTGTAAGAACTTCTTAATGTGAGGAATCACACCTTTTGGTAGAGTATTAATTGCATTTAATAACTTCTTAACTTCTAATAGCAGGTTAACTGGAACAAGGTCAGTAGGTATGTCTTTTTTCTGTTTGTCCTACAAGACATTTATCCATTAAAAATTTATACAATTCTACATACTCTTGTTTACTCTAGTGATTAAAACCAGCAAAAGTATTAAAAATAGAGTCAAATTCCTAATATATGTATATCATTGTGACAGACACATAGAATGCAAGTAAGAATAAGATAGTCTCTCTGTTCTCTAAGCAACTTAGTGAAATCCTGTCTCAAAAATTATAAAGGCTGGGGAAGAATCAGTGGTAAAGTACCCCTGAGTTTATTCCCCAGTATCAAAAGTTTTTTTTTTTTTTTAAATTACAATGTTATATAGATTATTCTTTACTTTTTTCTTGCTGGGTACAGTGGTACAAACCTGTAATCCCAGCACTTAGGAGGATAAGACAGGAGGTTTGCAAGTACAAGGCCAGTTGCAGCAACTTAGTGAGGCCCTATGCAACTCAGCAAGACTCTATCTCTAAATAAAATATGAAAAATAAAAAGGGCTGGGGATGTGGCTGAGTAGTTAAGTGCCTCTGCATTCAGTCCCTGGTACCAAAAAAATCCAAAACAACAAAAAAACTTTCAATAAATATGATATATAGTATTCACATAAATGTTTTAATCAACTATAAAGTATTTGTCATTGACAATAAAAAAATTACATCAATGCATAATGCAGAACTTCTCATTTAGGGCTAGAATTTTTAACAGGAAAGATAATAAAAATAAGAAAGAAAAGTAATTTCATAAACAACTCAGCAAAACATTTTAATAAATAAAATTTTTATATGTGATTGCATTCACATATGTGTTTGTAGTTTCATTTTTCTTGAATTTTCCTTTGAAAAGACAAATGAGGTGGCCAGGGATGTGCTCAGTGGTAGAGCAGTTACATAACATGTGTTGATCACCAGCAATACACATACACACACACACACACACACACACACACACACAAACACACACACGAAAAAGATATGAGTGATTTCTTTCTTTCTTATCCCCAAGAACTGGGGATCAAAACCAGAGCCTCACACATAGAATACTAAATGCTTTGCCACTGAGCGTATATCCCCAGGCAATTTCATATTTCTGAGTCAGTATCTCACTAAGTGGCCCAGGCTAACCTCAAACTTGTAATCCCTTTGCCGTCATCATATTAGGTTTAAGGTATAAGCCATCAAGCCTGGCCACAAATGAGAAATTTCTTAAAACTAACTGTTGAGATGTTTCTGGGAGAGTGAATTTAATTTTCTATCAATTTTAACTCACAGTGAGAATTGGTACTTAGAATGATAACTTTGATATATAGTATCAATCATGCAAGAAATATTTAATTATGATCATCTTACTCATTTAGAAAAGTGGACTCATTCAAAAGCTTTTAAGATTATTGACTAAATTTAGCATTACATTCTCATAATTAATCATTATTAATTAATTAAAATTAAATGAAAATTAAATTTTCTCTTACCAGTTGACTGGTTGATTTTTCTATCTTATTCTCAGTTTCCTCTTCAGTCTGTTCTTCCACAGTAGAATCCTTACTGAAAATGAGTAAGAGAGGTGTTTTCAGAGCATCTCCTTACAAAGATCACGAATTATAGTAGCAATCAATCTAACAACTGAGTTCTGTGTAAAGTTTTAGATAATCCTGGTAAGTATCAAAGAAGTTAAGGTAGACCTTACTGGATGATGGATGGTAGAAAAAATAGCAAGTTGATATTGTAGAACCTGACTCAATTCCTAGTCAATAATTATTGTTCCTTCTTAAACCCAGCCACAGCATCTCTAATATTATACATCTCTAATATTATGGAAGACATACAGGCGTTGAATTTGCACTGTTTGGAGGGAACAGATTACCACAGGGTCTCCTGTGTTATGCTTAAATTACTTTCTTAAAGTGAAAAATAACAGTATCTACTTCATAAGTTTTATGAGGTTTATATAAATTAGCATTTGTAAAAGCATTAAAAACAATGTCTCATCATAGCAAGTATATATAGTGTGTTAAAATTATTTTGTTGGGAATGTCCCAAGTACAGCAAGTTGTAGCACATTTTTTTTTTCTTTAAGAGAGAGAAAGAGAATTTTTTTAATATTTATTTTTTTAGTTTTCAGCAAACACAACATCTTTGTATGTGGTGCTGAGGACTGAACCTGGGCGGCATGCATGCCAGGCAAGCACGCTACCGCTTGAGCCACATCCCCAGCCCAACATAGCAAGTATATATAGTGTATGTTAAAATTATTTTGTTGAGAATGTCCCAAGTACAGCAAGTTGTAGCACATTTTTCAATAGCCCTGGTAGAAAACTTCTCTAAAATTATACTTCACCCACTCCTCATTCGGCCACTAATCAAAAACTGTCTTGTAGCATAAGATATCTAATTCACAATAGACTGCCAAGGTTACATAGAGAAGACTAATGTCATGCCTTTGGAATCTTAACAAATGAGTTTGTTTTTGTCAGCCTATTCCTTACCTCACAAAAAATTCTTCTGGTAGAGATTCCATGTTGCACAATGTTCCTTTATAAGTCTTCCAATGCTTGAAAACTGACTTTTACTACTGCTACTTAAAGCTATAAGGAAAGTAATATTTTTAATTAGTAAAGTTATTTTCTTTATCCCTCCTGTAAGAACTATACAGTCATTAAAACTTTTTGAAACTGCTATAAAAGGAAAATAGTTTCCCCTTCCTAACACAATGTCTGCCTATACTTTAATGTACTTATTTTTCTAGGCATAAGTATATTTTCAATTTATAATCATATTGAATGAAAATATTTTACCCCACTTTTTTTTAGCCACTGAATAATATACAAAAAACATCTTTCATGTTATTTTAGCCTCCTAGCCAACATTTTTGATAGCTACACAACGATTGGTTGGTGTTTCCTTGATGATTTTCTAATAGTTGGACAAATAAAGTTCTCATATTCTCTGTGATAAACTCCATTGTTTACAACACTTTTCTATATTTATGATTTTTTTCCTTTTGATAATTTCTTAGAAGAATTTCTAGGTCAAAATGCATTTTAAGACTTCAGTGCATATTTCCAAATGGCTTCCTAAAGGGTTTGTAATAATTTATTTCCCATAGAGGTATGAGTTTCTGCTTTATATAACCTTAATAGTATTAATTATTTTACTTCCTTTTAGTTTAAAAATGACATGTAGCTGCTTTATCCAAAATTGTATGATTGGATAACTCTATAAATAGAAAGTGGGATGTAAAGAGATCTTATACCTCTTTGGTTAGAATACCAATGGATTTTGTGGATGTTTGCTGAAGGAAAAAAAATCGAAATAATACAAATGAAAACAAAAAGATAGAGCGTCATTAGCATTCATTTATTTATACAGCTATTTATTCCAAGTTAGTGCCATTTGATCTTCTATATTAAGTGTTCAAGCCTCTAGACTCAAGTATCTTCTGCTAGGCTGGCTTCCTTGTCTGATCCCCCTTTTTAAGTCCAGAAAGTGTTAAAGCAAGCATATGTATAACTACTGACAAATGTTCTTGGGCAAAGGAAGAAATGATGAGGAAAAGAAAGGAAAGTGGCAACAACATCATAAACATAACAGATCTACACTGCTTTGCAGCATAAGACTGGGTAAAGTTTCTCATTTATTCCTTCTATAACAACTTTATTTCAGTAACAAGGGAACCAGTTTATCTAACAGCATATTTAATATATACCTACAAATCAGATTGGTTCAGCTTTTTACAGGCACATTACTAAAAGGCAATGTAACATAGTAATTCCCAAATCAAGAAAATATATTCCAGAAAATCAACTATAAATCACCAATTAAGAATTCAAATAGTATACTATGGAAACACTGTTTTATATGATGTTGATCCTGCTTTAAAGCCTCCAAACTAACTTAACCCAAAGAGACAACAAGTAACTGCAAAATTTGAACTCTTCTAAGCCTGGAGGTCTGAGTATATTCTTACTGGAGAGCTTAGTAAGGAAAGGGCAGCTCAGCACTGGTGTGTGGGCTAAAAGAAATCATGTGAGGATCATCTGTAAAACATTCCTAACTATGATACTACTATTATTCTGTATTTGATTAATTCCAACAGTTAATACAAAAAGTTTTGAGAGAAAAGAGCAATTCTCCATGGATGGCGTTGGAGTATATAATGCTAAGTGAAGTTAGCCAATCCCAATAAAATAAATGCTGAATATTTTCTCTGATATAAGGAAGCTGACTCATAGTGGGATAGGGAGGGGGAGCATGGGAAGATTAGATGAATTTTAGATAGGGAAGAGGGGTGGGAGGGAAAAGGAGGGGGCAGGGGATTAGCAAGGATGGTAGAATGTGATGAAGATCATTATCCAAAGTACATGTATGAAGACTCGAATTGGGTGTCAACATACTTTATATAGAGATATGAAAACTTGTGGTATATATGTGTAATAAGAATTGTAATGCAAAAAAAGTACATGTATAAAGGCATGAATTGGCATGAACATACTCTATATACAAAGATATGAAAAACTGTATATGTATAATAAGAATTGTAATACATTCCACTATAGTGTATTTTTTAAAAATAAAATCAATAAACTAAAAAAAATTGTTTCAGTTTCGATTTTTAAAGCTGTGCTTATTCACATCAAAGCAGGAACAGCTCGTTTATTTTATTAATCACTTAAACATTTATTTTGTAGCTCTATTGTCACCTCCCTAAGAGATCTGTGGACCCATTTTTTTGTAAAAATCCATTCATATATTTATCTTGACTAAGTTATCTAACCAAGTTAAAGGTTCTAATTTGCAAATAAATTCACATTTCAATGGGTAGATTGATGTTCCATGAATTATCAACCCTTGTCAACTCTGGCACTTATACATTACACAATGCCAGGAGGAAAAAGAGAGTAACGATGCAAAAAATAGAGTTCACACTTTTGTCAATGCTACTAGATTAAAAATAAAGTAATTAATATCTTTGGTATTTTTTAGTTGCATATTTTAGTTATTAAGAACTTCTCTTATACAAACTAAATCTTAACACAACTGACATTCTGGACTGGATAATTCTTTAATATGTAAAGCTGTCTATGCATTTTAAGATGTTTAGCAGCCTCTCCACACCACTCAGCCTATTGGGGCAACCAAAGATATCTCCAGATATTGCCAAAAATCCCTTGGGGGCACAAAATTGCCCTGGGTTGAGAATTAAAGATAAACGAATGAGTTAGGATGATTAATTATGTGGATACAAAACAAATTGTTCTGGAAAAGAAAAAATAAGGTCATACTGATTATTGTCTAGCATACAGAAACACAAACAAAACATTTGTCCACAAGACAGTGAAATGACAAAGTATTTCATTTAGATTTCCATTAATGTCAAAATTTGAAAGACTGTATATTACTAATAATGAGCACAAAAATTTTGGAATCACTCTATAGAGGTAAAGAGGCCTGCTCTAAAACATACTAGCTATCCAACTTTATATGAAATTAATATTCTCTGTGCTTCCTTTTATCTGAAAAATGGGGGTAATGATGGGTCCTACTTCATAGGATTGTAAACACATTTAAGCACTATTAAAAAGTGTTCATATCATCACCATCTTCATCACTTAATTGTTTAGGTTTACAACAAAATTAGTTTACTTTTCCTTTAATTCTCTATAGTGATGGGCAAAAGCTATTATGAGAGGAAACAATAATCATGAGATTTAAGAAATGGGACAAAAGGGCTGGGGTTATGGCTCAGTGGCAGAGCATTTGCCTCACATGTGTGAGGCATTGGGTTCAATTCTCAGCACAGCATATAAATGAATGAATAAAATAAAAGTCCATCAAGAACTAAAAAAATTTAAAAAAGAAATGGAACAAAAATTATTTTCAAATATATACACACAATGTAAATTGTAAATTAGTATTCAGCACCTTGAATTTTCATATCAGTACATATTACTATCTATAGTCTTTGATCTGCATCATACACCATTGTATGTCATTTTTACCAGATCATTACTGATAAAACTTAAACGTGTCTGGGATCTTTTTTTAAAGATTTGCTATTAGAAACAATGCTACATTAAACAACCTCAAATAGTCAGCTTGATAAAAATTTGATACCTATTTTAGAAAGATAGATTTACTACATCAACACTGAATTAAATATATTCCAGAAGTTCTGCAGAATTTAACAGAAATTTTAATCACGTATTTTCTGTCCCTCCAAACCCACTGTCCATCTGTGTTCTACTTCACAAAGATCATTGTTAGCACTGGATAGCAATTTACCACAGAGAAGTCTTGAAATATATACACATTCCTCCCAATAAAGAAAACAAGCCTGTCTAAGGCAAATTAGCATATTGTCCGAAGCAGGTTTTTAATTCTATTTACATCTATTCAGTAATTTATTTCTGGAGTTAAATAGGCAAACCTACATAATATATACATGTGTATAACATATACGCACATGTATTTGTTTTGAATATTTAGAATGTATCCATAATACACAGGTTAGGATTTTTCTGACCCTCCAACCCGTCCCGCAAAACAAAAACAAAATTAAAAAAAACATTTCGACGTGAAACTGTCCACCTGAAAACCAAGGTGTTATGGACTGGATAGGTAATTCAGTGAAAAAGCACATACCTAGTGCTGGTGTGGCCCTGAGCTTGATTCCCAAACCAGTGCATATATGTGTGCACGGGTGTGTGTGCGCGTGGGTGCATGTGTGTGTGCATGCGCGCGCACGCGCCAGCGCGCCCACAGAAAGTGAGCTGGTGTGCCAGCACACAAACAGAATGAGTTCGCGCGGCAGTGCGCGCGCACGCAAGCATGTGTGTACACACACACACACACTCTCTCACAACACAGGAAAAGGGTGAGAGAGAGTGGGAGAGAAGGGGAGAGAGGGAGAGAGAGAAAGAGAGAGAGGGAGAGAGGGAAACAGGAAGAGAGGGAGAGAGAGGAAGAGTGAGGGAGAGAGAGGGAGAAGGGAAGAGAGAGGCAGAGAGGGAGGGAGAGGGAGAGAGAGGGAGAGAGACGCAAGAGAGCTAGCAAGCATGCGTGCCCATGTGCAGGCTAGAACTAAAGGGAACATGGGCACGCAGGAAAGCAGGCAAATACCACTCTGCTCAGAAATATGGGTAGGTACCAAAGGAAGAAGCATATACTATGAAAGCATATTCTCTAAAAGTGAAATTTATCTTCAACAAATTAAAAAAAAATAGTCATTAGACAATAATCACAAAGAAAGAATACTGAGTTTTGTTACATCAAGAGTACAGAACTCTTCTTTTTGTGCACCTGTCTGTACCAATTGATGAAGTCTACCTTAACCATCACTAACATGACTCAGTGGCTACTCCAATCCTCTTAGAAAGGCATACATTTGTAAGGTGAGAGGTAGAATAAGCTTATGGTTATGAAGAATATCCTTTCATACAAATGTCCGAATGTCTTCTCTGATATAAGGGGGCGGGGTGTGACTCAAAATGGGTTTGGGAGGGAGAACAAGGGAGGAAGATTACCTCTAGATAGGGAATAGGGGTAGAAGGGAAAGAGAGGGAGAAGGGGAATAGCATGGATGATT